TTTTTCTTAGGTTAATGAAGAAAAAAAGCAATTAACCGTTCCCCACACTTCAGGAGAATATCTGTTGCTTTTTAAAAAAAAAAAACAAAAAAAAAAAAAAAAAAAAGAAAAAAAAAAAAAAAATTAAAAAAAAAAAAAAAAAAGAACCAACAGAAAAAGTCCCATCGACTCTTCGAAACGACACGGGGTGATCCTTCCCCCTGGCCCACCCGTCTTCACTCATCGGCGTCGGGCTTGACGTCCAGCATGGCGTGGAGCTCCTCGGGCGTGTAGCCCAGCAGGCTCTGCAGGTCGCAGACGAAACGGTAGACGTAGCGTTTCCCGGCCGTCTTGTGGATGATGTTCTTGTCGTAGTAGTAGCGCAAGCCGCGGCTCAGCTTCTCGTAGTTCATCTTGGGCTTGTTTTTCCTCTTGCCCCATCGCCTGGCCACCTGGGAGAAGGGTGAGGAGAGTCAAGGCGGGGATGTGCATCGCAGGGAAGGGAAGGAAAAATCAGTCTGGCTTGGTTGGGCAGGCATTGGTGCAGGAAAAGATGGAAGGGAGAGGACATTCCTTGTCTTTAAAATGGGCACAGATGGGTCATGGGGATTAAAGATTGGGAAGACCAAGCTCCATGTGATGGTAGAGCATTGAAGAGGACTCTATATGGATATATGTCAGAAGGGAAAACCAATCTGGTTTGGTTGGGCAAGCATTGGTGCTGGACACGAGGGAAGGGAGAGGACTTTCCTTGTCTTTAAGATGGACACAGATGGGTCACAGGGATTAAAGATTGGGAAAACCAAGCTCCATGTGATGGTAGAGCATTGCAGAGGACTCTATGAGGATATAAGTCAGAGAAGGGAACAGGGTAAAATCAATTTGATTTTGTTGAGTAGGAACTGGCAAGAAGCAGGACATGAGGGAAGGGAGAAGACATTGCTCATCTTCAAGATGGACATGGATGGGTCACAAGGATTAAAGATTGGGAAAACCAAGCTCCATGTGATGATAGAGCATTGCAGAGGACTCCATGAGGATATATGTCAGGGTAAAATCGATTCTACTTTGTTGGGTAGGAATCAGCAAGAAGCAGGACATGAGGGAAGGGAGAGGACATTGCTCATCTTCAAGATGGACATGGATGGGTCACAAGGATTTACGACTGGGAAAACCAGCCTCCATGTGATGGTAGAACATTGCAGATGACAATATGAGGATATATAAGTCAGGGAAGAGAAAGCAGGAAAATCAATCTGGCTTGGTTGGGCAGGCATCAGTGCTGGACATGAGGGAAGGGAGACGACTTTCCTTGTCTTTAAAATGGACACAGATGGGTCACAGGGATTAAAGATTGGGAAAACCAAGCTCCATGTGATGGTAGAGCATTGCAGAGGACTCTATATGGATATATGTCAGGGAAGGGAACAAGGGAAAACCAATCTGGTTTGGCTGAGCAGGCATTGGTGCTGGACACGAGGGAAGGGAGAGGACTCTCCTCATTTTTAAGATGGATGCACATGGGTCACAAGGATTAAAGATTGGGAAAACCAAGCTCCATGTGATGGTAGAGCATTGCAGAGGACTCTATGAGGATATATGTTAGGGTAAAATCAATTTGACTTTGTTGGGTAGGAATCGACAAGAAGCAGGACATGAGGGAAGGGAGAGGACATTGTTCATCTTCAAGATGGACATGGATGGGTCATAAGGATTAACAACTGGGAAAAACAACCTCCATGTGATGGTAGAACATTGCAGGGGACTCTGTGAGGATATATTATATATAAGTCAGGGAAGAAAATAAGGGAAAATCAATCTGGTTTGGTTGGGCAGGCATCAGTGCTGGACATGAGAGAAGGAAGAGGACTTTCCTTGTCTTTAAGATGGAGACAGATGGGTCACAGGGACTAAAGATTGGGAAAACCAAACTCCATGCAATGGTAGAAGATTGCAGAGGACTCTGTGAGGATATACGTCAGAGAAGGGAACAGGGTAAAATCAATTTGACTTTGTAGGAATCGGCAAGAAGCAGGACATGAGGGAAGGAAGAGGACACTGCTCATCTTCAAGATGGACATGGATGGGTCACAGGGATTAAAGATTGGGAAAACCAACCTCCATGCAACAGTAGAACATTGCAGAGGACAATATGAGGATATGTAAATCAGGGAAGGGAATGAATGTACCATCCTTTCCCCAAAATCAGTGGGAAGCCATCTCTCTCACCTGCACACATCCTATAGCAGATTTTTGGCACTACGCCTCTCTCTGCAGTTTCAGCTACTTCCCACTGACTCTGGGCACAAATTTCTGCTTCTGAGGTTTTATTGCAGTTCAATTTTTAACAAGTTTTCAGCTGGGCTCTAATTCCTTGTTTTCCCCTGTACATACCCAAGAGCAGAACAACATGACTGCCCAAATCTCAGCCCTGTAGGGAGGAGGGGAAGGTGATCCACACCGATATTTTAGAGGAATTTGGGATGTGCACTTAATGCCAGGGCACTCTACCTCGTCTGGATCAGAAAGCTTGAATTCCCAGCCATCACCCGTCCAGCTGATGAAGGACTGACAGGACTTGTCAGTGAGCAGTTCCAGCAGGAATTGCCACAGTTGGATGGGTCCGCTGCCTAGAAAGACAAAGGAAACATGAGACATTAATGCCAGGAAAAGCAGAGGGGAAAAAAAAAATAATCATATGCAAACGCTGCTCAGTGAAAAAAAATAAAAATAAAACCTTCTACTATCAAAAAAAAAGCACCAGAGGCCACAGGGCAAGATTTGGGCTGGGATGACAGCTTGAGAGTTAAATCCTGCAGGTAGAAGAGCTTCCTATTTGCACGAAGAGCTGAATATTCATGCACTGGAATGCTTCACTTGGAGTTACATAAATAGGATTATTTTTCTGGCATCCAAACAGCGAGGAGTCATTGTCTTGGCACAAGAGCACACCCCCCCTCCCCGTTTTCCTCCGTGCCAAAAAAGCTCCTGGCCACCACATGAACTCCGGCAGACTCCCGCTTCCCGACCTTGACTCTTTGCTCCTTCGCTGTTTATGGAGATAAGGACGGGGAGGGTTGGGGGGGGACACCCAGGTATGAAAATTATTTGGCCTCTTTCCAGGGCATGTTGGTGCAGGACTGGGCTACGTGGGGGAAGGCAGGGGCTGACTGGCTCGACAGGCAGATCTCACCAGCTCGGGACTGGTGGATCTCCCCGTCATGTTCCTGGGGTGCATTAGAAGGAGCGTGGCCGCAGGTGAAGGGAGATCATCCTCCCCCTCTGCTCTGCCCTGGGGAGGTCCCATATGGAGCACTGGATCCAGTTCTGGGCTCCCCAGTTCAAGAAGGACAGGGGAACTGCTGGAGAGAGTCCAGAGGAGGCTATGAAGATGATGAGGGACTGGAGCATCTCTCTGCTGAGGAAAGGATGAGGGACCTGGGGCTGTTCAGGTGGAGAAGAGCAAACTGAGAGGGGACCTCATTAATGCTGAGCAACAGCTAAATGGCAGGGGGCAAGAGGATGGGGCCAGGGTCTTCTCAGTGTCACCCGGTGACAGGACTGGCACACACTGGGACACAGGAAATTCCACCTCAACACGAGGAAAAACCTCTTTCCTGTGAGGGTGGCAGAGCCCTGGAAGAGGCTGCCCAGAGAGGGTGTGGGGTCTCCTTCTCTGCAGATATTCAAACCCCACCTGGATGTGTTCCTGTGCGACCTACTCTGGGTGACCCAGCTTTATCAGGGGGTTGGACTAGATGATCTCCAGAGGGCCCTTCCAACCCTTACAATTCTGTACTTCTATGATTCTCAAAGCCATAATCAAATCTCAGTGCAGCTGCTGGTGCCCCTAAGAGGCATGAGGTGGCAGCATCCCATGCCACGTACATCCAGCCTCTCATTAAAACGCCACAGGCTCCATCTCTCCCTGGGGTGCTAATTTTGGCCAACATCAAGTTGCCTCCTGGTCCTGGGCCCAACACATCTAACCCACAGCACCCAGTGCACCCCATTGCCTGTGGCTCCACAGCCTGGTTTTGGCTGGATTCATGGTGTAGGTGGAGCGATTTCGAAATATTTATCTCTTCTCTGCGCTCGCTTGTGTCCCAGTCAAAGGTAGAGGAGAAGCCCTCAAGCCAAAATCTCTTTGATGAGCAACTTCCAAATGCGGCCGCACCCAAAATACTGCACTTAGCTCTGGGCAACATGTTTCGGGAGAGATTTTGCCACATTTTTAAACGCAGCTTAGAATATATCACTAATAATAAGCATGACAATAAGAACCATAAACACAGCCAGGGGTTAGAGGAAATTATTTATCACCAAAAGGAAATTATTTATCACCGAAAGAATTGCACGGGCTGGATGAGGATGGCAAACTGGGGCAAACCCGCCTGCTGAGAGCCATGAGAACAAGCTTCAAGCAGGGAAAAAAACTTATTTACTCAGAAAAAGGGATGGAGAACAGCCTCTTTCCACGAATGACAATGAAGGCTGTCAGAGCTGTGGCTGCGGGATCACCCGCGGAGGGAAGAGAGGGCTGCTCCCCCTTTTCCACAAGGTTTAGAATGACTCAGAAGCAGACAAGCTGCTGGGGAGGAGGAAATGAGAGAGCTGGCTCTGGGACAGGGGAATCGCTGTGCCCCATCCAGCCCTCCCCAAACCATTTCCCTCCTGTTATCCCTAAGGAAGGGCTCCAAGGTTTTGCAGGCACCGGATCCTTCGCCAAGCCCTGGGGGTTATCGCAGAGCTCGGGGAGGGACGAAGCAGGGAGCTCACAGCATCTCTCTGCTTGTAAAGGGGAAGGAAGATGACACTCAGCAAGGGAAAGGCTCCAGCCCATCGTCCTCGGGAGGAGCTTGCCAAGACGTCGGCTCCACAACTACGCTCTCCGGTAGGGATGGAGTTGGGTTCTCCTCGCCAAAAAACAAGGGAGGAAATTCAGATGATGCCTTTGGCTCTTGGGAAGAGCCAAAACCCCGGCCTGAAACGGCACCGCATCTCAAAGCTTCAACCTATTTATAGCAGCGGGCTTGAAAGACAGAGGAAAACATCAGGGAAAAAGGTTATTTCAGCCGCCTGAGGTCCTCCACAGGGAACTGCAGGTGAATTCCAGTTTCGCTTGGCCCATCCAACTTGACACCTATTCCCTAACACATACGGAGAGCAGCACAAATCCAGTTGACAGAGAAACAGTCCAAGGAGACAAGACTGAAGCAAGACCAGGTTTGTCACCTCACGTTGATTTTTCTCCTGCCCAACCAAAGAACAAGGATTTATTTTTTTTTATTCCTTCCCCAAAACAAGACGGATGGAAACCCACCACATGGGCGCCAGGTTCTTGCGTGAGCAACTGCCCTCAAAATACCTCTAGGCCGCCCTGGCTTTGCAGGAGCCTTTCAAGGTTCAAGCATCACTAACCCTGAACTCGGCTGCCAGCTGGCGTGGAGAGGTGTCGGGAAACCCAGCAATTTCTCGTCCTCTCTCCAGCAAGCCAGGCACTCCAGCTGCCACTGCACCGGGTGCCGCTCCGCCGGGTATTTTGGGATTTTGAAGGAAGCGGTGTCACCCTCGGAACAGGGATTCCCAAGGTCTATTCCGAGCCGCCCGTGGGACGAGCGTAAAACCCCAAATTCCTCTGTGTTGGACAAGCAATTATGTCAAGAATGTGTTTACTGCAGGGCTCGCAGGCATGTCTCAGCTCCTATAAACACACGCCCTGCCAGAGGGGAAGGCAGCAGAGGCCCCGCAGATGTGCCGCCGCTCCGAAATGTCAGCGGGGCGGGCGATGGCACGAGGTGGCAGGAACCAAACCCCGACACATGCCCGAGCCTGCGTGCCTGAAAACAGCTCTGGGGAGACGGCAGGGCAGGAGCGTTGGAGGTCCACGCATCATCTGGTGGGCCAGTCCAGCTGCAATTAGTGCTGGGAGGGCCATCTTCGGCAACGAGCTGCTTTTGCCCACTCTACAGACCAGCAGGGAGTTCCTTTTCCCAACTCCTAAAGGATTTCAAGGGGATTTCAAGGGGACCCCTGGCTGGTGCAGAAGCGACCCCCCCCAATACCGCATCCCCAAATCAGGGCAAGCGTGAAGCTGTCGGGCTTGTCTCCGCACCCCAAACCCTCCGCCCCCGCAGGAGCTGGGAGCAGCGCCCATTTTCCATCCTTTCTACTTCAACCCTTCTTCTCGTCCCCCCCCTCCCCAAGCCAGGGCTGGAAATCCCCATGGTGACGCCTGGTCCAGCTCACTTCATGGTCCAAGCACGCACAGCCACGCTGGCGTGGCTCGGCGGGTGCACCCCACCACGCGACCTTGGTTATCTCCAAAAACAACCACCACTGGAGCGTTCCTGCAGCCTTTTTCGGATGGGGCAGTGGGACACAAGCCACCCTTTATGGCACCCGGTCCTGCCTCATGCATCCCGGGGCTTCCTAGACTAAACTCGGCCCTGGCTGGGGAATGGGGGCAGCCCCCGCGCCCCAAAAAGACAAGGGGAGGACTCAGAGGGTGGTGGGATGTCCTCCCACCCCACCATGACCTCTGGCACCCTTGGAGACTGCTAAGAATAGCCCCCGCCGGAGGGGCTCGTCCACCAGACGGGGCCACAATGGGGTCCCTGTCTGGCCTCGGTGGCACTGAACGGGGTCCTTCAGCGGGGAGAGTCACACCGAAGGAATTTCCCCACGTCAGGGGGAAAATATGCCTCTTAAGCCAGAGGACAACCGGCTGCTCCAGAGGGAACCGCTGGCCGAGCGGTGCCTCCTCGGCAGTGGTCCTCCCATGGCACCCCTGGGTGTCCCCAGAGCTAAGGGTTTGGTGTCACGCCACCCTTGTGCCATCCTCCCTTGGTCAGGATGGGAGGTCCCCTACCACCTTCTTAAACTGTGGCTATGGAGGGGTTTGAAAGTAAAATAAGCTGGCGTGGTGATGGTGGTGCCACCCAGCAGGGGCAGATGGGCACAGCCCAAAGCACGTCATCCCCACGCTCTCTGGAGACGGTTTCACACCCCCACCCCTCTCAACGGCCTCTGCTTTGTTTTCCTTCTTTCAAGCAGCAAGAAAAGAAGAAAATAAAAACCCCACTGACAAAAAAGAAAAAAAAAAAAGAAAAAAAAAGAGGGGCGCACCTATGCTTTGTGCTCTGTGGTTTGTGGTTCCAACCCAACAAAACAATTGGGCATAGCAACCTCTCCAAAACAGCCTTCTCCTCCCTCACGTGCCCGCCCTGCCCGAGCCCCCGTCGGTGGCACTGTGCCCCCCAATTTGCCTCGCCCTGCCCGAGCCCCCGTCGGTGGCACTGCGGCCCCCCCAATTTGCCCCACCGTGTTGGGGGATGGTGGAGCTCGTCCCCGTGGCTCCCTTGATAGACCAAGCCCAACCACCTCCTCCCCAGCTCTTGCCCAGACTGGTGCAGGTGGTCGTGCCACCACAAAGAGTGGGATGGGAGGGGAAGTGGTGGAGCTCGGATGGAAGCACATCCAAAGATCCAGCTTGAAAAAAGTGGGGAAGGACCCAGGAAGCAGGGAAGGACCCAGAAAGGACTTTTCTTGGGGCGCCACATGCTTCTGACCATGCTTATAGAGAGGAGAGCAACCAGATGGGCCACTCTGGGCCAGTTCTTCTTCCCTG